CACCTTCTGGTAATGTGGGTGGCAGTAAGGCTTGGTACACACAGGTTTGCTTCCCACTTTCAATGGAATCCTATGATCATGTAATCGCGAAGGTGGTAATCCTTTGGGCTCCTTAAACACGTCCTGAAATTCTTCCAAAATATGTTGCAACCAGGTAGGTTGATTTTTACCATTAGTTATAGGAAGTAGAATCCCAATCGAATATAAGTGTAGCAACGTCCCCTTCTTATTTCTCCTTGCTTCATGATTGAACTCGTGATCTCTAATTGCCTTATCATTGAATGAGGTAACTCCCTTAAGAGTTACTTCTTTTCCAGCCACCTTGAAGGTCATAAATAACCTTGCGAAGTCCCACATAATGGGGCCAAGTGTTCTTAACTACTGAGCACCCAAGACAACTTCATAGCCTTCCAACGTAAGTAAATAAAAGTCTACGTTAACTGGGACACCTTGCAAATTAACTTAATGTCTGAGCACTTCTCGGGGCTAGGAAGTTTCTCCCCGGATGCTACCATCACCTCAAAACGACTAACATTGGTTGGTTGCAGACCTACCTTTTTTGCAAGTGTTTCACTCATAAAATTATGAGTGCTTCCCGAATCTATCAAAACCATGACTGCAATATGGCCTAACTTGTCTTTCACACGCATGGTTTCGGGAGCTCATATCCCACAGATTGCATGTAGAGAGATCTCAGGAAGCTCACAAAACTCTTCTGAAACGTCTTCCTCCGGTATCGTAGTCATCTTCCTCTTCATAGAGGCCCTTAATCAAGGACAACTTCTTATAGCGATGTCCAATTATAAACTTTTCATTACAGTTAAAGCACAGACCCTTAGCTCGCCTCGCTTGCATCTCCGCAAGTGACAATCGCCAAACGGAAAGTACAGGGCTATTGTTGGTTGTTTCTTTGCTGATTGTAGAAGTTTTCGTCATGTCGATCAGTGTGCCAGCGCTGTTGAGAGAAGTTGCGGGCTTCATAAAGGCGGGCTAACCCAATAGCACCACGCCCTGCCAAAACGTCTGCTTTGATGTTGTCTTTCAACCCACTGATGAAGCAGCTAACCTGGCAATCGAGCCGGAGATACCCCCCCTTAGTTAAAAGCTTCTCAATTTGGGTTTGGTAGTCTCGAACATTCCCAGCTTGTTGTAACTTAGTCAACTCTCCAAAGAAGTCTTGGAGTTGAGTGGGTCCATACTTGGTATGTACCCCATCACAAAACGTTTACTAATATATCTCGCTTACTTCTTGTTTAAAGATTTGGTATCACAATAGGGCGTCACCCTTTAGATGGAAGGATGGAAGAGCCACGCGCTCTTCTTTCGGTATTTGATAGAATTGGGAAATTGCTCTACCCTACAAGTCCAGCTCGTTGTGTCCTCATTGCCATTAAAGCGGAGAAAGTCGAGCTTAACAAGCTTTGCAACGAAGGACTGTTGAGTTCCATGTTGACGATTTCCATTGGTGTGCCTAGATCATTCACCATGGTTCGAGAATGGAGCTCTGGTGTTCTCTCATTTCTCAGGTTCAGTAGTACCGGAATACGAACTAAGCTTTTTTGAACAGCTCGTTAAATTTGTCCATGATCTGCTGCTAGCCAATGTTGAGAGAGCTCACCTCACCTTCCAACTTCTCCACTCGCTGATCCATGCCTTTGTTATGATACCACAATGGTGCATATTGAGGTGAAACCTTCTTGGACGTACTTATGGTGCTGACCACAAAAGAAGTTGTATAGATAAGAAAACAAAAGAGCAAGTTTAATTGAGGAAACCTGGCCATAAGTATTGCTGGTTCAAAAAGTGCCCCTCCCAACTAGATTACCATTCATTAAATAGAAAAACAGAAAAACCCACCTACAAGATATGAGCCAAAAAATCAGCTCCCACTAACAACTACAACTTAATAAAACAAACTAACAACCCATTAAAACAACCTACTAAATCAGCTCCTACTAACAAACTAACAAAACTCTAACAACCCACAACTCCTACTAACAAACTAAGAAAACTCTAACAACCCACTAAATTAGCTTGTACTAACAAACTAACAACCCACAAAAGACTCCTAACATAACTCCATACTCATCCATGTGAGTCTTATTCATAAGAAGAGAAAGACACGTAACATTATAACTCTTACATTGATAGTGAATCATTTCCTTTTTGGTTACTTGTGAATTAGCCATACCACGTATATTATATGTTCATGGTGCTTTGATTATGGTTTGTCGTGAGTGGTTGTGCCATTTTATGTTTTTTTGACATTGTTCAAAAATTTTATTAATCAATTACACTGCAATCAAATAAGCAATATATCCGAAATAACCAAAGCTTGCATCGATCCTCCTCTTTTGGCCAAAACATCCGCTATCTCGTTACCTCCATATTTTGCTTTCTCTTGATTTCATCATATTTTTACTGAATTTACTACGCCACATATTCGATTCTTGGGTGTTGGATTTCTTGATATCAATTTGCCGGCTTTGGTTTGGAGGTATTAGAGTTGTTGTAGTGAGGCGTTCACTACAACAAGGGTAAACGAGATACCCTCGGTTCCTCACAATGGGGAAGAGCAAGAAGTGCCTTTTCTCTCTCAAACCATCCTTCTCTCTGTCATGTTCCTCTCTCCACCCAATACTTCTCTCTCTCTGAGATCTCTCTCAAACCATCCTTTCTCTCTCTCATGTTTCTCTGTCAATCCATTTTTCTCTCTTTACGATCTTTTTCCCTCTAATCATCTCTCTCCCACACTCCCACCCATAGTTTTTTCTATGGGCAATCTTTCTCTCTCTACTCTCTCCCACGCTCTCACACTTAATTTTCATCTTAAAAAAATAGGGCTTAATTTTCATCTTAAAATAGGGCAAATGAGTACATTGCCACTTTAAAAGCCACTGCATGGGCTGGGAGACCAAAAAACAAAAGAATAAACATATAAAAATTTAAAAAAAGAAAAGAAAAAAGAAAAAAGGAAGAAGGATTTGAACATGTTCATTTTCTTGAAACATAGAGGATTTTTCTTAAAAAGCCCTAAAAAAATTGATTACGTACTAATCCTAACCCTTAACATACCTAAAAATTAGAGAAGTCAGCAAAAGAAGCCCCCTGAGTCCAAAGGACAAAGTTTCAATTTGCTGAACCTTTTAACAGTTATTGAGAGAAGTTCAAGTTTGCTGAACTTTGTAACAGCTATTGAGGGAAGAGAAATCTATCTTGGTTGCAAACTTGCAATACCTAAAAAATAAGCCAAATAATTTTATGCTTGTGCACGAGTAAACTGTCCCTTTACTCCCTTGGACAAATACCAAGCTAGGGGTACTTTACGGATCCCAAATTCTAGGGACATATCCTCTACTACCTATAGATTAACTTCAAAACAAATGAAAAATTCAAATACATATTCAATGAGCCTCAAAAAAAACAATGTCGCAAAATCGAACGAACACTGTTATTTTTTTTACATCTTTTACCGAAGGAGAGCAAATGAACAGTTTGCTTAACAAGAAAGTGCAATGCCCATCTATTGGGCAAAATATATAACACCCATTGGAGGTCGCACATTGTTATACAATTATCATTTAACTAAGTAGCACACATACTATGCTGCCTTACGAGCATAATTTATTTCTACTTCCTCGGTCAGAGGACCTACTTGGGAGGCTTTTTTCAATCTCAAATTTTGGGAATCACCATAGAATCACTAGTTCATTATTCTCAAAAGAAAAGTTTAAAATTTGAGTTTTTTAATGCTTAGATCTCACCATTTAAAAATTTGATGGTCCATATTCTATCTTGACACATTATTATTTTAGGTGCATAGAGTTTGCAATTAAGAATGTGTTTTATGAGTTGAAGATGTTATATCCCTAAACTTTGAGGTCCTAAAATTAATTCTAGGTGCGGATTTACCCTAAGGCTGGGAAGGATGGTCCATTTTCCTGAATAGGATACATCATATCGGACCCCTTCTTGTTTTAGCCATATACGAATGCTCTCTCTAAAATTTCATTAGGGCTGCCAATTCTGGCAGGCTAGGCATTTCTTTAAGGCCCGTGGACAAGGGTCGGGTCTAGCTGGGTTTATGAAGTCCTGGTAACCTTATTTAAAGTGTAGGCTGCTAATCAGGTTGGGACAACTAGCGGGCTCCAAGTTGGGCCCATTTCAGGTCTTAAGCAGCCTAGAAACAAGCTAGCATTGGGGTTAGTTTGGTTTGAAATTTTTGGGTCCAAGCCTAATAATAAAGTTCGGATTGGACTCGGCTACAGTCTTGCCCTACTCATTCAATCCTAACTTATATCATTAATAATTTAGAGGATTGAACTTGCCATCTTATACCATTAAGAGTTTACAGGATTGAACTTGGCCCACCTTAGGCCGGCTCATTTGTCAGCCCCAACTTAGGGCAAGAACAATTAGTAAATTAATCCACCAACACCAATTTAAGTGGTGAATTGGTTGAAATAGAACTTGTTGTTGTTTGTAAGCATGACAAATGACATTTTCTTAAGACAAATTTCCCCCATGCTGAAGAAATTAATGTACATAATATATTTTTCAAATAAAGATTAAACGAACCGCAAGCCCCACCCTCTTTCAAATTCTTCAATGTGGGACAAAAGGTTCTCTAAAATGAAACAAAAACAATTTTTTAGAACATTTTGGTTTTGAAAATACTAGTTTAAAATAACTCTTGGTAATACCAAGATTTATCTTGGGCTAAATTGCCTAGATATTGTAAAGAAAAGTAAAACCACATCTCAAATTTCACTAAAAATTAACCACATCTCAAATTTCACTAAAAATCAACCACATCTCAAATTTCACTAAAAATTATAATTCTGCTGTCGAGAACCTTTCAAATTATTCTCAACCTCAAAAAAGACAAGATTTCAAATTATTCTCAACTTTTAAAAAAAACAAGTTTGTATATTACGGCACATCTGCAAGATTTGCACCATTTTTCAAGCTATAAATTTCATAATTAATAGTGGCAATAGATTTTAGAGCTACTAGGGTTTGATAAGACGGAAATGAGGGTGGCCAGGATTGATTCTCTGACCAAAAATCAAGTGCCAATTGCTGCATATCACAACTTAGTAATGAAGAGAATGCTTCGAAACTCAGAACACATGAAGTTGAGAGAATTTCTTTCAAAGAATGAGTGGGAGGACAGATTGGAGCACGTGATCTGCAATGGCTTTGTAAGCGGCCTCGGTGGGGTGAATGGCGTCCCAAAATAAAAACTTGGAGGCGTCCTGGCAAGCCACCACACCGATGCACAGCGGACCGGCCTCCATCAAACCAGTGCCACAGCACCCCCTTGAAGTTACTTCGAAACCTACCACACAACACATACAATAATAAAAATTAATAAACTTGAAGGGATATAGTAAGGAGTAAGGAGTAACATAGGCCAGTCCTATGTATTCCCATGTCTAACAGTTCCTTACCCTATTTCTTCAATTAATTTATTTCAATGTTCTTAAACCTAATCTTAAAGGGATGAACAATACAAAAGACTAGTTCTGTGAATTACCATAGTTGTGAGGATTAGTAAGCATGTCCATAAGGAGACTATACAAGTCCACATAGGCAACTTTGCTTTCAAGTAGCTCAGTTTGCAGACTTGCTAACATGGCTTGAAGCTTAGAATTGTAGGCCTTTGCATCTTCATTTTGTGTCTCTATGCATTTTCTCTCAACAAGCTCCACTGGTTTTTGAAGGATCGCAAGCGTCATTTGTAAGGGTATGCACCCTATAGGAGGAAGGCCTGCTACCGTAAACTTTCGACCACCTGCTTCATGGAGCCTCTAATGAAGTCCAAAGGAAAAAATATATAAATTCAGTTATTCATAGGTTCAGAAAAAAAAAGCAGTTATTCATAGGTTAAAAAAAAACAGTTATTCATAAGTTCTAAAAATCAGAGGTTCGAATCCCAGCTTTACATAAAAAAAGAGAAAAGAAAAAGAACAGGACATTAAAGAGCAACCTGGATAGAAGACCTGAGATTTCCAAGCAAAAGATTTTGGTAGTCAGGCAAGTTTCCCTTGGAGTCGTTCCCACTCACTCCATACACAGTCCATATGTAGTCATTAGAGCCAACACTGATCACAAACACTGCATTCGAAATGATGTCCTGCGTCCGATTTCCAGCTACCTTTTGTAGCCTCCCCAAGTACTCTTCGAAGTAAGCAAGTTGCTTCAACATCGGAATCGAGGAAGAAATACTAGAAGTACCATTATCGAGCCCCGACCCCGCAGAGGCAAAACTCACACCTGACTCTAGATTTGAGTCAGTTAGACCTGGGTCCAAGTAGGGCCGGACCAAGGGCTCCAGTCCTAGGGCCGAGGCCAAGAAGTCAGTGACCAATTTTCCATTTGAGAACCTTCCGGTCGCTGTATGGTCCGGAAAATCGCGACCATATGGTACGTGGTTGCTCTTGAAGAAGGTCGATATGTAGTCATTGTTTCCAGGGTCCACTGTAGAGTCACCAAATACAAGTAGAGCTGAGATATTTTGGCTAGGGCTTGCTGCCACCACCATGCATTCAAACATTAAAATGGCTAGGAAAATGGCTGGGAAAAGGCCCAATTGGGCTTGGTTTCTAGCCATGGTGGGTGCACTATGCTTTTAAGGTGGAACTTAGGGTCTTTGTTGCTCTCAATGCGTTTTCAATTGAGTAATTTATGTAGTGGTTCATAGATGGGATGTTAATTAGGGATTATCATTCTTCTTTTAATGGATAAAGATTGTTTGTTTTAATGTGATTTGGGATGATCTAATTGGTTTGTTTGCAAACCAACTTGATGATTTTGTTGTTTTGAATTTTAGATAGGCTTTGGACGAAGTGATCTTTATGTTGATTTTTTTTAAAAAAAATTAGCCCATGTCGTCTAAAATAGTTGTTATTAAGAAAGGATACCTAAAATGCCCCCAATCTTTTCTGGGGATGACCTACGAGTGAGTGAGTGCTTGTGCCCGTGTGTTATTTGGATCAAGATGGTAAAACTTGTTTTATGTTCATCACCGGTGAGAGTCTGGCCAATCCATAGCCAAAAAAAGTGTTAAAAAATAAAAAAAAAATACAAAAAAATTTGAAAATTAAGAAAAATATGTTTAAAATAAAATTAAATAAAACACATCTAAATGAGGTTAAAATGTAGTGAATAAAAAAGATTTTGAAAAACCTGACTTTGAGACAGGTATTTTAGAAATAATTCAAAACAAATGGAAAATATAAAAATAATACTCATGATCGAAATACTTTCATTCTTTGTTAAAATGATAGAAAATATAAAAATATATATCACAAATATATTTATTTATTTTTAGATTTCATAATTTTTTTGAATTTCAAGTCGGACCACCAGCTCGAAATCATTGGCTCACCCAAGTTTTTCCACACTGATCTAGACCACCGATGATAGCTCAATTATTTTTTAAATAATTAACACGAGCAATTTCTCCATTACTTTAGTAAGAGAGTAAACATCTTATACTTTATTATGGGGGAAATGAGAGGACAACAGTTTACAGAAACCGCCTCTATAGTCTAGCTGAACTACCAAGAATTCTTTTTTAACCTAATTTCTTTATATCAAACATTATTATATCTAGTTTCAAGGAAGAGTCTCATATTTGTAGAGAGATGGATGAGGTGGTGGTAAATGTGTCGACACATGGTGCACATTATTTAAATCTGTGTCTACAAATGAATTTTATTATTTTCTCAATGGGCTCAGTAGTTGATCAAACTTCAAGGATCCCAAACAATGAGGCCACCTGGATGTATTATTTTCATTCATATATAACAATTTGATTTTCAGCTATTCTTATAATATCCAATATATGACATAAATTTTAAAAGTTGAAATTGCAACTTATTTATTTTAAGATTAATTGTTTTCAAAATAAAATAAGAGATCTGAAATTTCAAGAAAAACATGAGTTGGAGTCATACAATAAACTATCCCAATTTTTTTTTATGCTATTTTTTCTTATTTTAATTAGTTTCACCTTGATAAAAACTGGATTTTTTCAGTAAAACTTCCTCCTCATAACATCTATCAATAACATAAATTTCAAGTTTCTAAATTATGAATAGTGTTTATTTGTAAAATAATCAGTGGTGGTTCATTTCCTTGCATTTTGGAAAGAGTATAAGAATGGTTTTGAGTTATACTGATAGACTTATTGAATGTGCTTGAGAATGAGAATGTAATATAGTATCATATGGCAAGTGAATTCTTCGATGCTCTAATTTATGAAATTTGAAATATATCATTTTTAATTAATTTTCTAGTCTTATTTTCAACCGATTTATGCCAAGATAAAATACTAGAATTTTTCATGCATTCTCAAAAATTCCTGATTATCTATTTCATATATACTGATTTTCTCATAATGCATGCGTATATTTCATTATCTTGCAGTAATGGCCTTTCATTTTCACTCATTTGATCACAACCATTAGTTCCTCTCACAGTCTTCTCTCCCTATGGCGTAACATCTCTCCCTCCTTACTGGGTAACACTTTTTAACATACATATACATATAAATAGGGATTCTGTCTGGAGTAAATTTTAATGATTTGTATTACCCAATAGCAAGAATATTTATAGAAGATTAAAAAAGATGTTATCTCTTAATTATACGGATCTATCTAACAAAAAAAAAAAAAATGTACAATGACTATCCCAATTAGAAAATGTAAAAAATTACAAAATTTGAAATTCAAGAATTTCTATTAAAAATTTTGGTAACTCTTAACACTCCCCTTCAAATTGAGCATAAACATTGAGAACACCCAACTTACTTATAAGAAATTGAAATTATTCTTTCCCAAGAGCTTTTGTGAATGTGTTGGCCCTTTGATAACCAGTTGGAACATGAGCAATATGAATTTGGCCTATTGAATTTTCTCTTGAACTAGATGCCAATCAAGTTCAATATGTTTTATTCGTTCATGAAAGACTGGATTGTCGCCAGTATGTACAGTGGATTTGTTGTCACAATAAAGCATCATAGGGCCATTATGAGAAATGGAACGATACTCAACTTCTACATATGATCAAGACCAAACAAGATATGGAACAATACTCAACTTCTACATATGATCATGAAGCTATCTATTGCTCCTTAGTTTCCAAGATATGGGGCTATTACCCAACTTATTGCAGTATATGTAGTTAAGTGTCTAGTCATCATGCAACTAACCCAATCAGAGTCATAATAGACAGGGAGTTATAGACTACTACTAGTATAAAGTAAAATTCCTAGGTCAGGTGCCCCTTTAAGTAACGAAGGACTCAAGTAACAACATCTAAGTGTGATTTGCCAAGTTGGTTCATAAATTGACTGAGGATGTAGATAGGGCAAATAATATTTGGCCTTGTAATAGTGAGATATATAAGTCTAATAGTCAACCGTTGATAAGTCGTATGACCATCCAAAAGATGTCCATTTGTTGCAATCAATTTTAAATTTTGTTTCATTGGGAAAGCAACAAATCTGGTAGCCAAATGAGTCATGGCTTGAAGAATATCGAGAGTGTATTTTCTGTGCGAGGAGAATTTCCTTCGTAGAACATAGAACCTCAATGCCAGAGGACCTAAATCTTTGATATGAAATCAATCACAAAGAACGGTTTTGAGAGCATTAATGCCATTAATGTCATTGTCGATGATCACGATATCATCTACATAGACTAGGACTTATGTGCATGAACTGCGAGGAATGTAAGTGAATAAAGAATAATCTGCCTTTGATTTAACATATCCTGCTGTTAGTAATGCATTTGAAAATTTGGTAAACCATTGCCTAGAAGCATGTTTATGTCCATAATGGGACTTAATCAAATGGCAAACTTGGTGCAATCCTTTATGTGAAAAACCCAGTGGTATCTTCATGAATACTTCTTCGTGTAAATCACTTCTACAAGAAAAACCCAATGGTATCTTCATGAATACCCCTTAATGGGCTTAATTTCAAACACTAAAATCATGTGTTTTTTGCCAGAAGTTAAGAAAATATAAAGTGATCTTCAAAAAACAGAAAAAAAAAATCATATATGAATAGATCTTCAAAAGGAATAAAAAGGAATTTTTATTATAATGATTTAAATAAAGAAAACAATGATTTAACCTTATAGTTATGTGGAGAATTACATGGTTTAAATAAATCTAAAAAATAAAATGGAAAATAATAAGCATTTTACTACTCGAAAACATAATAAAATTGTCGGATTCAGGCTTTAAAAATAGGTGAGTCAAAAATAGAATTTGCAAAACCTGAATTCCGTCTTGATGATTTTCAAACAGCATTTACCTAGAACCTATAATTTGTATCTCCAACATGATTCATATCAATATCATTTATCCAAAAACCACGATTTGTATCTGAAATTCATATCAAAGTTTGAATCAAATCCAAGATTGAGATTTCCATGAAGCCAAATAAATGATCGTATAAAGCAAGCTTGCAAAAGCCTTTTCCAAAGCTCAAATTTGTAAACCACGATTTGTTCCTAAAAACTCGTATCAAAGATTGAATCAAATCCAAGATTGAGATTTCCATGAAGCCAAATAAGAGAAGGTATAAAGCAAGCTTGCAAAAGCTTTTTCCAAAGCTCAAATTTGTCAGAAAGCAGAATCGTGACTTTCATTTGGTCTAAGTCTGTTTGGTTCAGTGTATTTCTCTTTACGTTTTCAATACCGCAGTTTGAACACGAAAGCATGATATTTTGCCAAGCATCTTAAAGGAAAATATGTTTGATGACGCCGCTCTATTAAAATAAGTAATACCCGACCTCATAATTCATCGAAAATTGTAACTCAAGCATTGGAAAACCTTTACATCGATCATCTCGGCTTTTGGACATTATGGTTGTAAAAAGAATTAGGATTTCAATCTCTCAAAAAGTGTAACAAATCATCTAAACCATCCATTTCGTCCAAAAAATAGTTTGTACCATTTTTTGAATTTCAAAATTTATTATTGGTATTGGAAATTGATTCTAGAGTCATAATGGAAACTTTTATTGCCGAAAGTGCTTTTTGGACAAGGATTTGAGGTGAGGCTTTATTCATTTTCTTAAAGCTGAGGGCTTATAAAAACTTCATCCTAGAGGCTTTATTCATTTTCTTAAAGCTGAGGGCTTATAAAAACTTCATCCTAACCTAAAAGAGCACGGCGTCTATCTTTGAGAATGCAATTTTTCATTTCATGTCAAGACGACACTTTGTATAAACTAAACTTTATTATATGAAATATTTTTTAGCTCTATCCAAATATCGGTTTTATGGAAAGTTACAATAAAGTTTTACACTGACTGCCTACCTAACACAATTCTTCTCAGGCTTAGGACGAGCAAGACTGGCAGGGGGCCGGCAAGGCAAAGTTATGGTCTTACTAAAGGTGTGACCCTTAATTCGAGTAGAATGGCAAAACAAGATTCATGTAATCGACTCCAAATAGTAGTATAAGACTCTAATTTTGATGACAATCCATAAATTGGTTGATAAGAAAAATGAAATGAGATTACGATACAATAACCAATATAAAATAAGTAGGCAAATTGTTTCTGGTTTTTGCTTTTCCTCAA